CCCGCCCCCAGGGATATGGCCACGCCCCAAAGGGACGTTGCCCCGCCCTTTCGCACACAGGACCCCGCCTACTTTATAGCTCCACCCCTTATGCGGACCCGCCTATCTGTGACCACGCCTCCTCTGTGACCACGCCCCCTTTTAAATGAATGGAGAGGCGCGCGTCGCCCCTGGCCGCTTTCCCGTGGTCCCAGCCATTCCCAGGGCTCTTCCCCAAGGAGCGCTCCGCTGAATCCAGCCCTTGCCGGCCTCATGACTGCCGACGTCCCTCTGTTGACAGGGCTGAGGTGCGGAGCCTCCGCCAGGGCCGGGCGAGGGGCGAGATCCGCCCTTTGCCCAGGGTGCCAGAGCATGATGGCCACGAGGAGGAGGAAGAAAATGGCACTTCTCCTGTGTCCCGAGATGCCACAGCCCATCCCCAGCGACGCCGGCGTCAGGCCTGACGACCCGTATAGACTAAGGTACGAAGCACCCCCGGAGGGAGGGCTCCCGGGGGGAGAGCTTCATGTGCCCCCCAAAACCGACCCTCGAGCTCCACCGCGACAGTGCCCAGGTAAAGCAGCTGTTATAGCTAAATACTGCAAACTGCGTTTTTTAATAAACCAAGCTGGAAATCGAGCTGTTTCTAGAACTCTTCCATACTTTCTTTCCCAGCTGTCATTCACTGTGTGAATCGCTGTTATCCTGTGGGAGCGGATTCAACAATTTCCAAGGCATTTTTAATTGGTCAGTGGTTCTGCTGGTAAGTGCTGAAGTCACGGCTATGTTAGTAGCCAGCATCTGGTGTGGGTTTCTTGTTTAAGAAGTTAGTGCCACACGGCTAAAACTCGATTTAAATGGGAATGCTGCAAAAGATTGTGGTGCTTCTCGCTAAGTTCTTGCATTTGGCATTCCCAAGATGCCAACATACTCTTCTTTGGGTTCAGAAATGGGGGGTTTTATAAATGGTTTAGAAATGTTGGCCCTTTTACCTGTCTTGTTATCCCAACATGTCATGGGAAGCTGTTGGGAGATGATGCTCTTTCTACATCCCTCTTCGTGGATGCCCTCCAGTTCCATCCAGCAGTTGTATGAGATGCTCAAAGCTGAGACCCAAAATCCATAGGGTCTAATAAATCACCTCTCATCCTTGCACAGAAGGAAGCAACTGTTTGCAAGAAATTACATAAAAATTAGACACTGGTGACCTGTTTAAAAAAGAGGATGGCAAGGGAATTTTGCTATATGACCCTCACATCTTAAAGGAAATACTGTATTTTTTTGCTGTCCTACACTGGGCACAGCTAGGAAAGGCAAGCTAGGGTGATAACATTTGCAGAGACCTTTTAGTCAGTTTAAGCATACTGGAATACTGCATACCTGTCTAAAGATATCCTAAATATGTTTCTGTATATATCGTGGTAATCTGATTCTTCATTCCAGGTTCTCACTCATATTCACATGAGCCTGGAGAATTTTATCAAGTAAGTGAGTTAGGGAAAAAACAACAGCAAAAAAGCCTTATTACTTACTACTTGAAATCCAGAATAAGAGTGTGACTTCTGAATTGCAGGAAGAGCAGGTTTGTCCTCAGAGGGAGACCCACATTTCTCCTTCTCTGACCATGCATGGGACGTGCTGTCTAGCAGCACCTGCAGAACACACCACAGCACGTCCAAAAATCTTCCCCATAGCCAGGAAAGAGGTTTTGGGGTCCTTCAGTATTATGCTTTAGAGATTTAGCTTTAATGCCTTAGCTATTGGTCTTACCGCATTATAGAAATGTAGATATTCTTGCTTATCCTACTCAGCTCTAGCCAGTGGACCTACACCGATACCTACTGAGGCCATGTAATGTGCTTGAAGTCAGGATTTGCTCACCAGAAATTCAGTGCAGCAGTGGAAGAGACTGTTAGCACTGTAACGAGAGCACGCACGAAATGAGCCACCCACGAGGTCTGTGAGGAGCAGAGCCAAGCAGCTCCTTGCTTATGTTCCTGCAGAAAACCAGCCCACCAAAGGGCTGGGTTGATAGGGGCATCTTCTGTGCTGCTGAAAGGACATCCATGGAGTCCTGTGGAATCCAGAGCTTCTGGCCACTATGTCCTGCTGGAGCAGGGGGGTGGTGGGAGCTGGAGAAGAGGGAAAGGAAGGTTTCAGATGCTAACTTGTTGGTCCTGAAGCTTAAGGAGATACTGCTGGTCATTTTGAACTTCCCCGTTAGGAGCCAAGGCAGGGGGGAATGAGAGGAAGAGACGAGACAGGCTCCTGTAACCCTGAGAGCATCCTGGTGTAGGTTATCCTCAAACCTGACTGCTTTCCTCTTCCAGGTACGGACTACTCTTTGATCCCATAAAGATCATCTCAGTTTTCATTAAAGACCCCTATAAGTGGCCAGCAATATATCTCATTGCCGGTAAGCTAGCAAGGTCGAGTGTTAGCAGCCAAATATTCAAGAACATCATGTTCAAAGTTTACAGAATCCCGTGAAATAGCTTAAGAGCAATCTTTTTTTCCCCTCTGGACTTTTTGGCTTGTACTCAGTGCCAGGTTTTATCACACAAACCCAGATGTGGATTTTGGAGGGTTTAATCTCTGCTAGGAGAGATTGTGTATCTCTCGATTTTCACATTCTCTTATAATACTGTATCTACAAGCAGAGATAGCAAAATAACAAGAAAGCACATTCAGTGAGGAAGATTTGACAAACCCAAAGTAATCTCATTAAGATCCATGATGTTTTCAGACCTTTTATTTTCATAATATGGACTTCAAAAATCTCTCTCCTCACAGTGGAATTTCAGGCTCAAATATCCCAATGGCAGAAACAGATGGAAATCTGCTCAAGAAAGTGTGGTTGCATCCATTCACCGGTGGTGACTTTTTTGGAGGTGATGGTGTCCCTTAATATCAGAATGTGTGGCCCTTAAAGAATGTGAAACCTCCTTTGATTAGTGCTGGGATGCAAATGCTTCTGCTCCCTTCTCCTCTGACCCTTCATCTCCATCGTAGAGCATCTGAGTGCCTTTCATAGTGCATTAGGTACCACATTTTGTGCACTCAGCCTTTGCCCAATGTCCTCCTCCACAACAGACTTGTTTGCAATACAGGGAGTTGCTTTTATAAGGCTTCTGCAGTTGAGGTCGGGCTGCAGGAGAGTAATTTTTCCTTCAAATGGGATTTGTAATGGCCTGTGGTTTCCAACAGAGCTCATCCTGCAGGCTAAGGGTCAGGTTTGTCACTGGTTTTAGGTGCCCAGGTCTATCAGGAGGTGCCAGAGAAGGACTCTGCAGCTCTGTCCCTATGATTAGTTGGTTTCCTTTACAGATAAGCTTTGCTAATGTGGTGGAAAAATACACTTTGTTCCAAACAGAATCACATTTTTGTTTCCAAATTGAGTTCACATGATGAGAATCTTGGACAGCTGAGACCTGCTGGGTAGTCTCTATCCAAGCAGAGGTCAGACTGACCAGAGAATCGGGATGGGGCTGCACAGAGCACCCTGTGGTCCCTTTTCCCCAAAGTATGGAAACAGAGACACGTCTGAAACGTTAGTGATGTGAAACGTGTGAGTCATCACTAAAGATTTCATACAAATCCCTAAAACCATAGCAGGTCATTTATAACCTCTTTGCGTTCAAGTCCATTTTGGCTTTAAGAATCGGGAATGATTTTATTATGGAACACCAGAAAACACCTAGCTACTGCTCGTAATAGCCATTATTCATTTGATTTCCCTGCGTGAGGTTACATTGTTATTGCTGCAGGTTCCTGCACTTTTAGATGTGCCCTTGCATTCAATTTCCTTTCTTATAATTAGAGGAGGGGGTAAGGGCACGATCACAGTTTGCTCTGGCTGCCCAGCCCAAAACAGCTAGTTGTGGAGCTGATTAGGACTGACATGGTCATAACCATCGAATTTAAATTATCTCTAGGTTTCAGAGTTAATTGCTCATGGAGATGAATGAGAACATCTCCCTTTTGGTGCTGAAGTGCCCTGCAGACCCTCACAGGTTCTTGAGAAGCCACAGGGATGGTATCGATCCCTTCCTAACTCAGGGACTGAATGCAAGTCCCATTTTGCAGAGGTTTGGTGATCCCTGGACAAGTCTTAGTTTACCATTCCTGCCTGCAAGTTCGGTCTAGCCCAGCCTCTGAGCATCCCTACCAGTGGTGTCTTTAATAGAGATTTTTTTTAATGTTTGTATTATTTCTTTCCTTGCAGCTTCTGTTTTGCTTGCGCTTCCTGCAGTTTTTATAGAAAAGTATTTAAAAAAGGTGAGTGAACTGATTCCTTTGTAATTACACTTGCTCTTTGCCGTGATGGGTCTTTCGAGCAGAATCCCTTGTCTTAGTCTCACTCCTCACTACATCTGCACTTGGGGAGATGAGATGCCTTCAAGCCATAATATATTTGTAAAGCACATTAGCATTGCAGTGAGGTAGATCAGCTTCATACATTCATTTGGAGATTAGGCTCTAAATTTAGATTTATACCCAATGAAAAGGGTTTTGTGGCCTCAGTTTTGATGGTTGTTTCAAAGCAAAACTACTGCAGGGGCTACTGCAACGAGCAGCCTTTGATTTGGAGCCAGGGACTGAATGATATGATAGAAACTAGACCTCAAGCCCTTAGTAGAAATGCAGGGCAGAAACTCCCTGCGTGCCGGGCTCAGTTGTCTGTCCAGCCCTTGGGTGAGCTTTCCATCTCACCAGATCCCTCCTGATTTAGAGCACGTTATTCATAAGGCCAAACTACCCCCGGATAATGTCGGAACGCAGCGTTCGTGCCCTTTGCAGGTTCGTGGCTCTGGATTCCTAGGCTTGGCGCTGCAGGCTCTGAACTTGCTCTCGCTGGTGGCGTTCCCAGCTGTGATGGTTTATAGAATGAAAGCCATAACTCCAGGTGAGAGATTTGTCCGCGGCTCGAAGCGTTACCCTGGCTTACCCTCAGCACAGCAGTAAACGGCATCGTGTTCCACCACGGATGTGGTTGGCAGGATAGAAGAAGCACTGCCTGGTAGAAAATCACTCACCACTCACTTTAACACTCACCGTTAAAAAAAATAATTGAAGTATACAGGGCAGACGTGTTAACCAGTCCTATGTGGGTTACCAGCGGGTCCTGCGTGGTGTTCAGAGCAGAAGAGGTCGATTTTTGAAGGTGTTCTGTGCTAAGGGTAATATTCCCTGGCCCTTTATTTAGGCGTGTAGCTACCATCAGGGAAAATGGCAATGGGTTTGCATACCAAGGAGATATTAAATCCCCATTCCCCTTCACTAATGTATAATGTCAACAGAAGCCTTTGATGAATACAGCCCTGTCTTAATTAGATGCTTGAGCAGGGACTTATTAATCCATTTATCTCAAATTCTAATTGTACCATGAATCGCTTGCTGTTTTATGCCTGAGTTTATGATCATAATTATCTGCCTGGGCCCTTTCAAGAACCATACGTATCAAGGACAATATTTTTGGAAGCTTGCTTCCTTGCATTCTTATTTGTATTCCTTTCCTCAATGTGCGTGTTGGTAAATATTTGGAAAGCCTGGCCCTATCAGCCAAGGGTATCCGGCAATAAAACAACCTGGAATTGCAGCTATGTGTCACGTCCATGGTAGTGGTATCTGACATTCAAGAAAACGTGGATATTGGCAGCGTGGAGAGGAACTGACTGATCACTGTGGCAAGGGCTGCTCTTTATATACCAGAGTTACAGAGCGGTCATGCTTTGGGTACCTGCCAGCTTCCAAATGCATCTTAAGCTATAAGCTTAGGCTGGGCTACTAATGAGCCTCTAGATCTGAAAATTAGTCCTGAGAGAGTCAGAGCAAGCCAATAAATTTTCCAAAAGAGCATGCAGTTGCCTGGATGACATATATTTGCCTGGATAGACTTGCGGATTCATTTGACAAATATCCACATCGCAGGCAAATACTATTTTTTTCCCCTCTGAATGCCCTGAATTGTCTCTTTGCCATGACTATAGCAATGGCTCCATCTACTGAAATAACTCATAAATCACCGGCAACTTCAGGAAGTTGCAGCAAATGATATTCGTCCTCCTGTCTTCCAAGCTAATAGTGCCCCACTGCGTTGCTGTCTTTAGGAGGGTCTGTTTGAGGGCCGGCTAAGCAAGCAGTAGTGGAGTCTCGCTGGGTGTGGGTAGGCCCACACGAAGAGAAGGAAGGGGACAGACACATGGGTGACATTTGCTAGAGCTGAAATAACAAATGACAGTAAAGGAAGTCATCATCTCACATGATGTTTTAGTCTTTTTTATAGGGCTTGCTGCAGGCAAGCAAAGGTGTCAGGGCCCCCTCTCTTTCACAGCTGAAAGGTTTTGGGTTGGGATGAGCAGGCTCTGCTCCAGCCTTTAAGATTCTGGACGCACCTGGCTGGCTGCATAAGCAGAAGTGCCTGTTATGTGGTTAGCAGAGGAGTCTCTTGTGTTGGCTGCTGTCAGGAAGCTAAGCTAACTTGGTGCATCAGCTGTTGCTTCACTGTATTTTCTCTCCTTTCTCTTAGTTGGAGGGCTGCTGACCATGTTTGTGTATCTCGTCATTACCCTGAAACTGTTCTCCTACTACCAGGTGAATCGCTGGCATAGGGAGGCGAACCCCAAATCTGCCCGAGGAAGTGCCAGGATGCAAGGTCAGAAAATGCAGCACCCTTCCATCAATGCGAGCAGCAGCAGACATTGAGAAGGATGATCTACCTATGGGTGGACTGAGCTCAGAGCTGGGAGTCCTGCACCCTGCTCCCAGCTCTGTTATGGATGTAGTTTGTGACTGGGAGCGAGTCCTCCGCTCCGTTTTTGTGTTTCCCTCACAGTAGAGAGTCTTTGGGGCATCTAGACATGTTCTGCCTCACCAAGCTTTTGGAAGGAGGGATTAACATGTGCATCTCAAGGCATCAAAGGAAGATTTTACAGTTGGCTTTGAAGGGAACAGAAAGCTAATGCCGAGATTGTTCTCCCTGTTTTTCCCCCAAATCTCTCTGTTTGCACCTCTTACTAACCCCATAACAGCACTGCTTACTCTCCAGGCTCAGTTATCTCCTGAGCCTTGCATGTTCCTGCTGGTGTTTCTTGCAGAGCTCTTCTGCTTTTAAAAGGCACTTTGACCCTTTCTCTGTTCCTGACTTTGAAGCTGATGGGACTCATCCAGGCTGGTGAATCGGAGTAAGTTCCTCAGTGCCTCTGCCTTGTGGACCGAGGGAAGCAGAGGCTCTGCGGAAAACAGACATGGGACCATGTAAATAGAGGTCGTCCAAAGTGTGTGTGCAATGTGACCAATTCAAGCTGCTCATCTGAATACCAAAAGAGAGAGGGAAGGGATCCCTGCCTCAGTTTGTAGGGCTCAAAGCAAAACCATGAGAGAAAAAGCTCCTGCTGATACCATCACCTGGACCGCATTAGGTAACATCATTTGAGGCCAGCTTAAACCAACTCATCACCTTTATGCTTTGTGTTACAGCAGAATACTCCAGCTATCACTCCAGAAGGCATGAAAGAGGACAGGCAAAGCAGATTGTCTACCCAATGAACCTGAAAGTAAAAGGTAGCAGTTCCTTCTTTTCCAGCAGCTTCCCCCCTGTCAGCAGAGCAGGACTTTTATAATCATGTGCTACACAAAGTTGCAGAGAGGGACTGGCAGCTGGATAGCTTCTACCCGAACCAAAGGAACGAAAATTGCCTCCATAATCTCTCTTACGTGGGGCATTATTCCTTCAAAATTAAATCTCTGTGGGAAAATACGGTTAGCAAATGACTTGAGTGCAGTTTTCAAGTTTGAGTGTTGAGTATTTGACAGCACTTCAGGTATAAAGAGTATTGGCCTTTCCTCCCATGCAGTCTGGTTTGTTGTGTGTGTGTCCTTCCCTAGGCAACAGCGGTGCAATAAAAAACAGGTTTCAAATGAAAATCCCATTTGCAGAATCGCAGAGGTTGGTGATTAGTAACTGTTGTAGGGCATGGGGAGCTCCTGGAAACATTTGCAAACACACTTATCCTCCATGTTGTTTTGAAGGCTGATAAAATGAACTTGTATCTTTGGAAAAACCCTCCAATCAGCCTCCCTGCATGTTTTATAAATCAGGGCATTACATTCCTAAACTATAATTTGACTTGAGAGACCCATTTAATAAAATTCCTTCACTACCCAACTCTTTAATATCAAGAACATCCTCACTGAGTTCAACAAGCCAGGATCACCCCAGTGGAGACTCTATTTTCCAAATTCAGAGGGTTGAGTGTCATCCCGTGGGTACGGCCACGCTCGGTGTCCCCTTTGCCACAGGCTGTTTGCTGCCACGTTGCAGTGCTGAAAGGAAGCATAAAGCTTGCAGCTCTGCTTATGATGGGAATACCTCTGTGGGTTTTGCTAGACCTAACGCAGGAAAATGATGTGGTGTTTCTCTTCCTTTTCCCCCTTAGACTTGTATTATTTTCTGCTAGCCCCAACACTTTGCTACCAGCTGAATTTCCCACGGCTAAAGCACTGCAGGCATGGCTATATCGTTAAGAGGCTGCTTGAAATGGTAAGAAAACAACACTTCACTTAAACCTGTCAGCTTCGGGGACCCTCCTTGGACAGCAGCAGTTACTGTATTGAACGCTGAGATTCACAGTAGCAACATTCCCTTGGATGCTGATGTTACAGCCATGCATTGAACCCTCCCTTATCACACAGGCATGTTTTCTCTGATGTTTATCAAAAAGAAGGATATTTCTCATATTTTAAATGCTTTTCCTAAGTCTGTGGGGTCCTGGAGGAATGAGCAGACATCCTCCAGCCTGGATGGGCACTCTGGTGAAAATGCAGCAGTCTCCATCGCTGTCTGTGGCTGCTTTTGTTTTCTGTAAATCCAGCGGTGATGCAGTTGTGCTGTTAACTCCTGCACATTTCAGCCCTTGCACAGGGATATTTGACTAATCATGGGGATCTCACAGTGCCCTTTCTAATTCCTCTCCCCTTTTTTTAGGCTTCTTGAATGGAAGGGAGGATTTGGCCAGCATAGATTCACCTTTAAAAGGGTTCTGGTAGGAACTGACACAGAGGGGATGTGAAGTGTGTGGGGCTCTCTTGCTCCTTGCCAACAAACGAGACCAAATTAGGCCCCGTGGTCTCGTTGCTCATTGCAGAACCACTGGCTCAGCGGGACAAGGCTGAGCATGGCCAGTGCAAGCAGTGGGCACAGCAGATTCCCTGAAGCACTAATGATGATCTGGGTCCTTGCATTAAGGTTTTGGTGTCCGTGTTAGAGTGAGTAATGTGTTGGGACACGTGCCGAGACCTTTGCAGGAAGGCTGCAGCATAAGCAATTCCAGTGTCAGATAATAGTGCTTGAAGACACGGTGGTGGTTTTGGTATCTAAACACAAAGTAGATGGAGATATGGAGTGATGCCTGAGGATACGGTGGCTTTAGAATGAGCGATTCAGGGAAGGATGCTGATGTCTTGTCTGGTTTTATTTGCAGGTATTTCTCTTTCATCTCATGCTGGGGCTAATTCAGCAGGTATTACTTTTTTGCTTGTTTAATGTTAAAACCCAAGGATTCAGTTGGCCCATACAACAAGGACCACTGGGATGCAGTTATTACCATTTTTACACTGTAGGCAATACTGACCTGCACTACTTTATTCTCCTTATTCCATAGAGCACCTCTGCATCTACCTTAGTGCTTATGCACTGCCGAAATGGCTCACTTCACCATGTCTGTGCTTATCCCTATCTACTTCAACACAACGTATCCCTATCAGCTTATCCGTATCTCCTTGAACATCAGTTCAGGATTCCTGTGCCTGCTTAGTGTCAAGAAGGCTAGATGAGGGGATGGGGAATTTTCACCACCTTTCTCACTTTATTTTATGGACTGGATGACCGTTTGTGGCTCTGGTCTGAGTCGGCTCGCCCCTGTGAAAGGCTCTATGCTTTTAAGCTATCACAGGCTGTCCAGAAGAAAAGCTTTGTAGCTGTGTTAAGGCAGATAGTTCTCTCTGGTGCTTACCTTGACATCGGCTCAGTCTCCTGGCAGCTGTCACTTGGCTTGCTCAGGATCCGGGCAGGATTTCTCCCTAATCCTTTGTGCCTGGGCTGGTGGCGGTGGAGAACAGTAAAGGGAGATTTACTCAAAGAAGATTTTGGGGGGTATCAAGGAAACTGTTTGTTCCCATATAAGCATGGCATAAAGCCCACGCTATAATAAAGTACTTAAAATAGTTATCTCTGTGAGCTACTCATCTGAGCTGGCAGCCTTTCGCACTCAATAGGAGATGCTGGGGGGGTTCCCCTCTCTTGATACCTCCCAAAAGAGTTAATTTGGGGGCCTTTTTCTCCCAGCTCCAGAAGGCTGGAGGACTTGGTCCTACCGTTGAGCTGTCCCGCTCGCGTCATGGGGTTTCAAGCTTGGCTGCCTGTGTGAAGGGCAGCGATGGCCTTAGGGCCGCCCCGGGTGCCAAGGGGAAGTCACCCATCGGTCACCTGCTGCTGGAGCGCTCCTGTTTGCCCCTGCCCCTCCGTGCGGGCTCATGTGCTGCAGCTGTATCATTTAATTATAGCCATCACAAGATAACGAGCCACTTTAGTGCCTTGCATTCAGACCTGTGCAGCTCATTGCTCTCTATTTGTTTTTTCTTTCAGTGGATCGTACCAAACATACATAAATCAATGAAGCCCATCAGGGTAAGCAGATAAGACCCATCGCTTTCCTCTGACCTTATTCCGCCTCCCTGCCTTGCTAGAGATCATGCTTTGTGTTTCATTTCTCTCCACAGGAGATCGAGTCCACCTTGCTCACGGAATACATCTTGAAGTTAGCGGTAAGGCCGGTCTGCGCCAGCCGGGCTGATGCGCTGACAAGCTGCCCTTGCAACACAACCCTAAGGAGGCTGGGCAGTGCAAGCACCTTAGCTCTGTTCCCTTCCAAATCTGCCCAAAATGCTGTTGCCCTTCATGGTGGCATTACTGAAGTGTCTTAGTGCAAAATACTGATATCAAACCCCATGGATTTTGTGGAATCTCTGCTTAGTGTCTTTTGTGAGGATCATAACTTTTCTTTGGGTACGGTGTCTTATCAGGTTTGACAGGGGACTGGATAAAAAGGGCTTGAAGAGGTATCACTATTTGTATGTCATACTAGGAAATCTTTTCAGAGAGGAATATTTCACAGCATTTCTTAAAGCCTGACTCTACAGCCACTCAGCCACTTGATCTGCCACAGGAGTTAATTCCCTAGCTTGAGAGCTGTTCATCTCCAGCTCTTCCCAGGCTTCCTTTTGGGCTTTTCACTTGTCTACTGGAAATGTAGCTCTCTGGAGCTTCAGGGATCAAAAATAACAATATTGGCTGCAGCAAGGCAGAATGCAATGCGCAGACTTGAGGCTGGGCAGAAAGGACAGCGTTGCGCTGCTTTAGCAGACAGGTCACTTCCCAAATACTTGTGCAGAAAGACCCATCCTAGAGAGAAAATTCTGGTTATTTTTCTCTTCCTTGTATAACTCTGCTCATTCCTTTTCCACTTGCAAAGCCTCTCAGCAAAGTCTCCTTGGCTCTGCAACCATCATGTGCTAATTCATGCACAACGTTGCTGCTCAGGAGGGATAAGGGGTAAGGTTTAGTCGCTCTGTAAATTTCCAATGGGACAGCTGGCTGTGGGGTCGGCCAGGAGAAGGAGAAGATGCTCCAACATCTGTGTCTACCTTATACTGTTCCCTCAAGTGCACACATACTTGGATGGTGCATCTTGATGTTCCAGTCTGGTGGGTTTGGTTATTTTTCTTGCCCCCACAAAATACTCCAGGATGCTGCAGAGTAAATCCTGACGGTTCCTCTCTAATGCTTTTTTCTTCCCTCTGAACACTCAGGAAGTGTTTTTTGCCATTTGATGCTTTGTCACAGGGCACACTATAATTTCAATGGCATTTTCTGCTTGTCTGGAGGATTTTCCTGCTCCTGTGTTCCTGCCGGAAACCTGTACAGCGTGTTATCCGTGGCCTAATCACGATGAGCTTTCAATAGTTCCCTTGGTTTGCTTCCGTTTCACCAGATTTAACCTTTTAATTACATCTTTCTCCTCTCTCTCTGTCTGTGACAGTGCATTGCAGTATCTGAACATGGTTCCTGAAGTCGTTTTCCAAATTAGTACTTTGCTTTGGCATTCACTGCTGGTGCTCTGGGTGCTACAGGCACTCGCTGTCCCTCTGCTCTCCTCTCCCGAAGCCAAGATCTTTCCAGACCGTCTTTAGTCTCATGTAGCTGTGTTCAGACCAGTGGAGCTGTAGCTTTATGATGCTGATTCATTTAAAAGGTTATAACTTCTGCCTGCAAGGCAAGGACAAGGCAGGTAATGGTCGCTGAGGGTAACGTTGTGATTAATGCAGCAGCATTTTTGCGCTGGAGCTCCTGGGTAGATGCATTTGCCTTTATCTAGCTCACTTAATGAGGGTTTTTTTGACTTAAAATTACAAATGCATGTGCTGTCCCTGCAGGGCATCCCACCTAGCAGAGAGGGTTGAGCAACATGAGCAGAGGCCGAAGGAGCTGGGTTTCCTGAAGAGCTCTGGTTCTCCTTCTCTCAACCCAGCACCATCTCATCGCACACCAGAGGCCCACTGAGCTTTGCAATTTGCTCCAAGCACTTTGCCCACTCTCCCTTAGCTTAACGCAAGCTGAGGCTCAAACCCCTCCTTAGGAACAGTTGTATGGGATGATAGTCAAACCGTGCTGGAAGAGTGGAAGTGAAATGAGAAGGAAAGGTTTATTTTATTCTGTTTCTCCTCCAGGTGCCAAATCACTTCATCTGGCTGATCTTTTTTTATTGGTACTTTCACTCCTGCCTCAATTGCCTTGCAGAATTGCTGCGATTTGGTGACCGGCAATTTTACCTGGACTGGTGGTAAGGTGTCTTTTCATCTCTTGTTAAAAAGAAAAGAAAGAAAAAGAGCTTTGTGGCCTCTTAGTGCAGCATGACTTAGGTATGTTAAGGGCTGCAAAATGGTTTTGCTAAGCAGAGCATCCAGTAGCTGGGACGCATCTAATTTGATGTCTCAAGCATGGCCCAAATGCCATCTTATAACTTAGCCAGATGGGCTCCTTAGGTAAGATGTGTTGGGCAAAACAAGATGAGGCTTTCAGAGAACAAGGTCACGCTCCCTGCTTGCCTCCTATTAACCACTGTCATTTACCCTGTGACAGAGACAGCAGTGAACGCTGTCACCAGAGTGACAGTGATTTTTGGTATAAATGACTGTAATTGATACGCTTTGGGCACATTAGGAGTAAACATTAACTTTTACTTTCCCCACTGATTCTTTAGAAGCAGACACTTGATTTATTCCAGCAAGGTATGGACAAGATCCAAAAATCAGATCCTTACCTACTTTGGCTTGACATCTAAACCTGCATCTAAAATTATTTTTGCTTCTGTTTCTTGTTTCCATCCCCACACAGGGAAGTGGATCTGCGAAAACGGGTACCAGCAGACTCTAAATGAGAGTTATGTTTCCAAGCTCTGCTGGATTTTCTGTAACCTCACCTTTCTGTAGTCTCCTTTTCCAGCATAGTTGGCTAAGAGAAACTGGACAGCTTGGTATCAGTAACAAATGATAAGGGGGCAACAGCTAGACAAAAATGAATATACACCATTTAAGGACATACTTACCCGTATAAATCATCAAATTATTCTAATGGTAAAAACAGATTAACAAGTTAAGTGTTAATGGAACAGGAGTTGCACTTGGGTTTCCACAGAGAACAGATGTATGCATGTATGAACCTGAAAGTGAAACAGGATCTGCAGTGGGTTAAAGGATCCTATTCTGGCCTGAAATAAATAGGGATACAAATCAATATACAAGGATACAAATAGAGGTCAGCTCCAGTTGCAGCAGGTGACACTTCGGTCCAAGTCAGGCTGCCCACCCTGACGTGGCACCCTGATTTTTGGGGACCTCTGTGCTGGTGAAGCCGGTCCATGGGGGTGCTGCACCGCGGTTCAGGCTGTGCCATTGCCGCTCTCTGCTCTTGCTCGAGGCCCAGCAAGGAGCTCTGCTTCCTTGCCCTATCCTCCATCCAAAAGGATATCCCAGTTAGTTGCTGCTCTCCGGGGTGTTCACTAACAGAGTGCTCTTCATCTGGCTGCCTGTGACGGAGCTTTAAAAATAACCAAAACAGGTTGCTGAACCCATTAACCCCAGGAAATGCTGCTGTCCCTAGAAAAACAAAAATTCTATGAGCTAAATTATGGTTCTGACAACAATGTATTTAGAAAATAATGAATTGGGCCCCAAAAGTCCTGAAGCTGAGTTAGAAATCACAGAGATTTTTTTTAGGTTGGAGGGTTTTTTTTTTTTTTTTTAGTATTCTTTCCATCTCTGACTTCACTTCCCCTTGCTGAAACACCGCTCCAGAGCTGGCTCTAATAAAGCCAGAATATACTGTGAGCTGATGCCATGCCATGTTTTTCTAAATCCCAAATTTTAATTATTCAGGCAGTCTAAGTTAAATGTAAGCTACCACTGCAAGCAGGGCTTTTAGGAGGACTCTGAGATTAGAGCCCCCAGAGTGTAATTAGGAGATGCTCCATCGGATGCTTCATTCTGTCTGCCCGATGGAAGCGTTGTCAGGAAGATGAAATGTTCATAGCCCGGCCAAGTCAATGATAAGGCAACGTGTGCTGGTGTCTCATCAGTCAGACATCTGTCACCTTGTCTGACTGACCGTTCCGGTTCTCTCAGACTGCCGACGCTTTCCAAGGGAAATCAGGAGTGGTGCCGTTCAGATCACAGGTGTCTCCAGTGATCTTACGGCCTGCAGCAGGGCACCCAAGGTGCAGCACGGAGCAGGCGTGTGATTTAGCACATCAACACTGTATCTGTTGTCATGTCTTTGAGGTCTCATGATCTTTAAACCCTAAATCTGGGAGAACACGGGTTGCTGCTCACACTCAAACTGGCAGCCCGTGTGCGTCGCGGAACATACGCCCCAAACAGCAGGTGTCATCTTCATTTCGGACTCTGAGGGTGGTGGGGAATCCCATGTCCTCCTAATGAGTTTTTCACTTGTGCTGGGATAGCCAGCCTGGATGCGGTTTGATTTTTGCTGCAGCTTTGCCTCACCCATGGGTGAGGATGTCCACGTGGCCGGACGGGTGCGTGGGGTCTCTCGCCCTATTAAAAGACGTCTGGTTCTTCTCCTTCTGTCTCTGCAGGAATGGAGACTCAGTCTTACAGTTCTGGTCCAGATGGAATATCCCGGCTCACAGATGGCTAGACAGGTACAACACCGTGCTTGGAGCTTTCTAATTAACATTCCCTGCATTTAACAGATGAACTATTGCTGCCGAGGAATCAATAACATTAATAATAATCATCATCTTTGAAGGATTAACTTGCTATGGATGTGTCCGTCTCCTGTATGGCCCTGAAAGTTTGGCTGGTTTGCAGTTTAACTCTGCACGTTGCAATTAAACCTTGGCATTTAAAGTAATTAATGAGTGAGCTTTACATTTGAGAGTCGTCTCAGAGGAATAGCAGGGCGCTGACTGCAATGAAATAACTTTGTTAAATTAACAGCTTCAAAGTTGGTGTGAGCATGTAGTTTGTGCTGCTGGGAATGGTCTCAGCAATCTAAATCTTGGCCTTTCTCTAGGGAGGGAGCTAAGGAAGAGGTCCCTGTCGGA